TATTTATTTTCCTTCTCTTCTTTTTTCTCTTTTTATTAAAAAGTAAGATGAAACTTGAACTTGGAACCTTTTATCAGCTAACTTCCAATTTTGATAGCGAACCAGATCTTGTCAACTGATATATGTGTGATGGCTTTGAGTCATATGCCCTTCACTGTCCTATGATTTGAGACGGGGAAAAAAATGACAATCAAACCTGCCTGACGTGTTGGATGAGTTAAAACATTATGCCCATTATATTTTCTGACCGTATTTTCGAGGCTCTGTTTAACAAATTCCCATCAACTGATTAGGGACTAGCCTAGGAGAGGATGTGGATTAATCCTAGCAAGATTAAGGAGGAAACAGAAAATGAACTGAAAAAACTGGGTCAGTCCTGACATAGATTATACCAAACACGATTCATTTTCTTTAGCTAGGTATGCTATAACCCACGAACTCCCCGTTTGGTAAAAGGTTAAGGAAGATGGATTAAGGAGAATGATTAACATAGTTAACCTACTCGATAATCTGAAATACTAAATTCTTATCCCATTATATAAGTTTTATTTTAGTCATTGTGATTATTTTTAGTGTTTGGAAATAACAAGAATTTTGACTATTTTCTTTATAGCTAGAAGGGTTCAACTCTTAATCCTTCTAAATAAGAGTATTAGTAAACCCCTTATTTTGAGGGGTCAACTCATTTTAATCCATCTAGAGGGGTTAGCTTAACCCTTCTATATTTTTTGTGTTTGGTAAATTATGGAGGGTTAACTCACTTTAACCATTATATAGATTTTTTGTGTTTAGCAAAGGGTTAAAGAGGGGTTAAGTCTCCTTAACCCCTCACTTAACCCTTTGCCAAACGGTACTTAAAAGTCTTAAACACAGTTTTAAAGTTTAAAAAGGGAGTAAATTACACTAGAACCCCAAGAACTTTGTGGTGAACCCTTTCAAAATCACAAAGCCCCCCCAACAATTTTTTGCGCACCGTAGGAAATTCCCGATGAGTACCTGCATTTTGCACCTAACCCCCATAAATTAGAACAAAAAAATAACACGCATTAAAAAAAAAGGCATTTTGAAAGCCATCGGGGGTGTTCAGTGTAGTTTACCCAGACGACGGCGGGTGCTCGGCAAAAGTTACCGGGTGCTCAGTGCGATTGAGGGTTTTACTAAAAAAAAACGCTATGAAATCCACGGTCAATGGAGAAAGACTCGTAGGAACCCCGTTATAATCATGGAAACGGGGGATGAAAGGCTTCCCAACGCAGGAAAGACCCACAGCGCATCCATCAGCAGTCTTATCCTCTTACGCTTTTATAGGAGGCAGCGTCCTCTGTCCTATCCCCACGGACCCCCCCCCCCCCCCCTCCCTCTTTTATTCCCTCTACATACCAAAAAGCAAGCAGCTTTCGCTGCGGCACTACCACCTCAACCCATTCCTTGATCGTGAGATTCTTCCCCTTTCTTCCTACCTTTAATTTCCCTGCATCCCCTGCGCCTCTCTTCTACCCTCCAATGGGGCCCCCCTCACCCTCGAACTCCGAATCATCTGCCAAGACCCCGACCCACCGGACTCCGACTCCACGACCAGCAGCGCCTCCTACTTCCGCCTTCCAACCCCCCCCAAGCTCTACGTTCAAGAAATAACCCTCAAACGCGAGCAAGGCCCAAGCCCAAGCCCAGAAACCTTGGGGAGCGAAGGGCGGCCGATTACGCCACCAGGCTGCCGCCAAGTTCCGGCGGCGTGCGGGGAGGCGGGCCGGGTTGGGGGAGTACGGGCGGAGATACGCGATCCCCGGGCGCGGCGTGCGCGTGTGGCTCGGGCACGTACGACACGGCGGGACTGGAGGCTGCCAGGGGTCTACGGACTCGGCAGCCGTCGAGTTCAGAGGCCCCAACGCCACGACCAACTTCTCTGCCTCCGCTTCTTTATTCCGGGGTGTGATTCTGGAGGGGGCCCAATATTGACCGCTTCGACTCGGGCCGCCTATCGGGAGCCATTTAGGAAGTTCGGGAAGGCCAGGGACGAGCTTCTCTTTCTCCGGCGGCTCGGCTCCGGGCTCCGGGCTCCGGGCTTCGTGTGTTTGGTTTTGGCTGATTTTTGAGCTGAATAATGACTTGGGGTCTCCTACGTCGGTGCTCAAAGAGGAGGGGGGTAAGTTTACCGAGGATGTGAGGATACCGGAGGAGATGGTTTGGTCGTACGAGGATGTTGGCGGTCAGCTGGGTGGTGACGAGGGTTTGTGGGACTTTGGTGGGGTTTTGTCGGTAGTGAGCTGGCCTAGGGTTTTGGAGGAGGATGGATTGAGGTTGTTTGGGGGTTTAGGGAGTGATTTGAGCGGGCCGAGGTTTGAGGAGGGTGAGGATTATTTCGAGGGGATTGATGATTTGTTCCCGATTGATCAAATGTCCACGGTTTGATTTTGATCAGGGGAGTCTCCACAATTTTGAAGCGGCTAGTTAGTTTCCTCTCTCTCTCTCTCTCTCTCTCTCTCTCTCTCTCTCTTTCTAATGCGGTGTTTTTGTAAAAGATGAGGTAATTGTAATGGGAATAATGTGAATGTTTCCCGAGCGCGATAGTAATTTGCTATTTTTCTGAGTTTCTATTTGTTCGTGCATCATATGAATGATAATGCGTTCCTCATTCCCGTTGCAGGAAAACCAGGGGTTTTTCCCCCTTTGCTCAATTTCATTTGGTATTTCGCCCATCAATTAGATTTAAGATCGTTCATCAATCTATTGAACTTTAGATTTTAGTGATTATAAGTCACATTGTATGCTTGAACATTTATCAAATTATTACTATATAGGACTACATGGACGCGAGCTGATTAGACAACAACTGGAGTTAATGACTTATGAAGATCGCTCGGTCTTATGGGCATTAGGGTCTGTTTGGATGGGGGGGGTTAGAGGATGGAAGCTAAAGTGAAATTTTATTTTAACCTTAGTTGGGAATTGTTTTGAGGGGTTAGAGGATGTAATAGAAGGTTAAATTTCTCTTGATATCCTCCCCCACCCCCAATTTGAGCGATAGAGGATGGAATGAAAACCAGAGTAAAATTTTACAATATGATAAGACAATTATACTATTATGATATTAAATCAATGGCAAAAATATACCCTCATCTTAATAACATATAAGGGTATTTATATGTAACTTTATATATATTCACTTCATTTCTTAGAACTCCCAAACAATATAAAATAAATTTACTTTCGTTCTTTTTACTAAACTCCTAAACAACATTTTATTTTTTTCACTCTCATTCCCTACATTTCCTTTCCATTATTTAACTTTCCGCCCCTTCCCTCAGTAAACTCCCAAACAAAGTGTTAAGGTTTTGTTAGATTAAATCTGATTATGGGCACATATGTTATATTAGTGTGTAATGCTATCTTTAAGGTTGACCCACATAAAGTGATCAATTAGTTAATTTTGGGTCAATGGGTATTTAAATTTAATCATGGGCTAATCGTGTAGATATCAAACTGCAATTCTAATTTTATGAGGGGCTAAATTAGAAAACTGTAATATCTATAAATAAAGGGTTATGGTCCCAAATCTAATGTGGACGTTCTCTAATTCTCTTCACGCCCATCTACAGAGACATTAGGTTAGAGAGATCCTCAAGATTAGAAGAT